AATGGATAAGCCAGGGTGTTCTCCTTTGATTTTGGGGCGATACTCAGAACAGAACAAGAAGAAGGCCGAAGGAGGCCTCTTGGGTGCATTGGGGTCCTTGAACTTCTTTTTGGTCTCCCCTTTGGGGGGGATGTAGGTTTTCATTTCTCTTTCATAACGAGCCTTGTCAGCCTTGGCCATGTCTTCAAATTTCCCCTTTTCTTTAGCAGACATGGCCTTCCACCTTTCTGAGCACTTCTTGGAGAACTCTGAGAAGTTGACAGAAGCATCAGGGTGCTTCTTCTTGTGTTCCTCCCGGCAGGTTTGCACAAAGAATGCATACGAGGACATTTTGCCTCTCGGCTTCTTAGGATCTCCTTTGCCCATGTTTAGTTGATTTTCTAAAAGAAAGCATTTGGTGTTAGTAACGACATTATGAAATTGACAAGCTGCAAACTACTCGGGGTGGCAAGGCAAACCAAAGTTGGTGTTATTTAACCCAGCGGTGACGACAATCTCCCATGAAAAGCAGACAGAGCACTGCAAACGCTAACCAATTCCTAGAAGTGGCTAAGCCACAGAATGAAAAGACAGGACACAGGAAAAAACACAAACAAAACGGTCCCCAAGTCTGATCACGACGTGTGGGCAGATACTCAAGCATTCGCTATCTGTGTCTGAATGACTGCCCAACCGGTTATCAAAACCATTTTTAAAACTAAAAAAAAAAAAAAATTTATTTTTAAAGCCAACAAAACCCAAACGTCTCAAAAAGAAAACCCACCCTGTCCATGAGTGAATTACAGCGTCCAAGGAACGATCTGTAGACCTTAGAGAATTACAGGCCCAGGAAAGCCCAAGGGGGGCAAAAACCCAAACCACAACAATAAGTGCCCCTCGCGCAGGCCAAGTTTACCCCGCTCTCAGAGCACCCCGTCTTCGCATCAAACTTTGCTCGGGAGGGCGGAGACGGCGCTGGGACGGGGCCGGGAGAGGCCGCCGTTTCCTATCGCTTTGGCCCCGAGATGCGTTTCTGCTCTGACTAAACACGTCCGGTCTGAAGTTTCTCCGAGTAAACAAGGATGAGGGACAAAAGCCACTCCTGCCGCCACCCCCCTCTCGCTGCCACGGGGGTGTAGGGGTTGCTTGGCGTTTTTTTTTTTTGGTGTTTTTTTTTTAAACCGAGCCCGTGGAAAGTTGGGGTGCCGGGGCGCGCGCGGGAGGCCTCCCCCGCCCTCGGCACTTGGCCCGAGGCTGAGGGCCGCCACGTGCGCCCGGAAGGCCGCAGGCTCGCGCCGCCGCCCCCATTTTGTCGGCCGCGGCGCAGGGAGAAGCCCCGCTCGAAATGGGGGCTGGCTCCGCCCGCGGCCGCCAGGGCCGGCGCACGGAATGGCCGCTGCGCGTCTTCCCCGCCTGCGCCGCCGCCGCCGCGAGGGCGAGCGCGAATATGGCTCCTTCCCTTTGTGTGCGCGCGCGTGTATGTGAGTGTCTGTGTGTGCGTGTGTGGTGAGTGTGAGGAGACTGAGGCGCGCGGCGGGCGGGGCGCTGGCGCACTCGCCATGGCGGCGGGGGAGGGGCGGGGGCGCGCGGCTCCCCTCCCCCCGCAGCCCCCGCGCCGTCTCCCTCCGCGCGCCCCGCCGCCCCCGCACGGAGAACGCGGGGCTGTGAGGAGCGAGAGAGAGGGGAGAGAGCGAGCGAGAAGGGGGGGGGGGGAGGAAAAAAAAAGTTGCCTCAGAACTGCTGCGCCCAGCTTCCCCCGCCCGCACGCCCGCCTTGTTTTCTCTCCAGCCAGCAGCGCCGGGCCGAGTCAGCCATGTTCCAGCGAGCGCAGCGGCGCCGCTTCCCCCCCTGCCGCCCGCTCGCCCGCCGCCGCGCCCGGCCCGAGCCGCCCCGCACAGCCGCCCCCGGCCCACCCGCGCCGCCCTCGCCCGCAGCGGCGCCCCGCCCGCCGCCCCGCGTTCCCCGCCGCGGTCGCCCATGCAGCCGGGAAGCGCCGCCGCTGCCCGCTCCGCGCACGCCGCCCGCCCGCCTGCCCGGAACGTTCGGCCCCGGGGGCCGCGAACACGTTTTTTTTTTTAAGATATTTTACAAAAAAATCTGAAACAAAAAATTAAAAAAAAATTTTTTTTTGCGCCAGTGAAGCACGGACGCCACCGCGGGTGGGAAGTGGCGGCCGCCTGAGGCCCGCGGGAAGGCTCGGCGCGGGGCAGCGTTCGCGGCGCCCGGCGGAGCCTCGCTCCGTGCGCAGTTCCCCCCACGATTCCCCCCTCATTTGCCTTTGTGTGGAGCCTGACCCGCCGGCTCCGGGCCGCGGGGATCCGGCCGCCGTGCGGGCGACGAGGCTGCCCGAGGCGCTCTCGCCGCCGCTCGCCGTCCCGCACTCACCGTCCGCGAGGCACAGAGTCGCCCAGTGCCCGTCCGGCTCTCGCTTGCCCCGGCGCTGTCTCTATGGAGCTCAATGTACTGCAATGGCTGTGAGAGCGGGAGCCAGACGCAGCCTCCTCACTCTCTCCGCTCTGTAACATTACTCTCCAGCCAGCGCGCCTCCTATTGGCTACCGCCAACTCACGGGGCTCGCTCATTGGCCCGTTCCCTCCCATTGTCCTGACCAGAGCCCGCGCGCCATTGGCCGACTCCGGGGACACGTCACCGAGGATTGAAACAGCGCGCAAATCTGAACGTGTGTGTGTGTGCGCCGGGCCGAGAGGCTGAGGCGGGAGAGGCAGCGGCAGCGGCAGCAGCTGCTACGGGAAAGCCGAGCTCTATGGTGTCTGTGTGCCTGCGTCGGCCCCGAGCCGGCCCCACGCCCGAGCCGCGGCGCGCGCGCCCAGGGCCTGGCTTCGCCGCAGCGACCGCTGCGTCCTCGGGCCCGGGCGGCTCCCGCAGGCCCGCCCCCCCCCTCCCGCTCCCCGCTCCCGCCCCGAGCCGTTGAGACGCGCGGCTCTGGCCGGCGGAAGCCTCCCCGAGTGGGGCGACCCGGACGTGGGGGGCTCTGCAGGCCTGGGGACGGCCGTGCTGCCGCAGCCCACCACGGGACACCCCACACCGGCGTCTCACGGCGTCGGGCCCACCCTGCCCGGAGGCCTAGTCTGCACCCCCAAGCAGGCGTCCAGTTGCACCCCTCTTTCTGGGTTTGCTCGAGTTTCCCAGTACTTCTTGAACTTTGTTTTTTTTCTTTTTTTTTTGTCAAACACAAAGCACTGTTTTGAACTTCCCGGACACCAAAGCTTTATTCCAGGGAATTAATGCAGGGCCACTGGGTTTTGCTACTGGCTGCTCTCAGGAAATGTTTGGGAGGGCCCAGCTAGAATTAGCAAGTTCGTTAAAGCCCTCATCTCCCCACCCCCATCCGCACACACTGGCTGTTTTCTGGGACTTGGTGTGGATTACTGTTAGAATCAAACGAATCTTTGTGATCGCTATCTTCCATTCGATCACACCACTTAGTGCATACGTGTACCTGCTCTAGGATTACCAGACGTTTAGGGCTACTGTTACCTGAAGGATTAGATGCAGGCGGAGACTGCTCGGGCCCAAACCCACAGGCCAGGCTTTCTCCCACTCACTAAGCTGGCTGGTAGTCACGCTTTGGTCTGCAGAGAAAATAGTCAGGCCAGTTCCAAAGGCCACAGGCTTACATTAACCCTTGGTGAATGCACTATCTTTCCCTTTCAGGGGCAGACCACACCTCTCTTCAGTTACAACAGACATCCCCCCCCCTTTTTTTTTCACTCTCTGACATCCTATATACTTCTCTACCCAACAAAGAATTAATTCCTCCAAAATGCAATCGATCCAAGTCAAAACAGACCACATTGGGTTAGATTTCTATACCACTTCCAAGGCTCTATTATCTAATGGGTTTGCTCGAATTTATTATGCTTATTGAGAAAAGGGTTAGATAATGTTTTCTGAGCAGTGCTTTTAAATGTCCATTGTCGTTTTTTGAAAAAACAAAACACTCTTGGTCTCAGGGAATATTGGTGTGAATGGGCAGTACACAAAATATATACACACAAACAAGTAGTTGCTGGCTAGGATGGCATATGCCTTTAGTCCCAGCACTCAGGAGGCAGAGGCAGGAGAATCTCTGTGAGTTCCAGACCTGCCTGGTCTACACAGGCCTGTCCAGGACTACACAGTGAAACCCAGTCTCAAAAACAAACCAACAAAAGACCACTCTAGTATTAAAGACTACGTGAACAAGCACTGTGCACTATCGATATTTAAAATGTTAAATTTTCAATTGTTATTCGCACTTGTATTTACCCTCCCTGCTCCAAGCCAAACTTTGTCCTTTACACACATCTACATCATTTCAGACCTGTTGTGTCTTCTTAGTTCTTTATAGGATATTCAATAGGGGATGGAGCCATGGTTCTTGGTTCTAAGCACTTGCTGCTCTTACAGGAGACCTGGATCAGTTCCCAGCACCGACATGGCACCTTACATATGTACACACATACACACACATAATATATATGTAAATAGATATAAATATATATAAAATCTTAAAATAACTAAAATATTTCCATAGCATTCCGCATCACTAAAGTGTAGCTTCCATTTGAACGGCACCATAGTATCTTGCAGCACTGGTCCTGGTCCTCTGCCCACACTACTAGTTGTCTAGACTAGACCCTTGGGAGGGTAAATTAATGGCCCACAGAGCAAGAGGAGAGAAATGGACACGCATGACATTTCCATCCGAGAAGGGCAGGGAGTAACAGGCCCTGGAGTTAGATAGCCAGAGGTTCAAATCTACCATCCCTGTGTACTGGATTTCCCATCCTTAAAGCAGATGGCCAAGGCTTACTGTGAGGATTACATTTTACTTTGGGAAACAGGGTTTTGCTGTGTTGTCCGAGCTGGTTGTCTTTTCACAGATTGATGTTTTTTTCATCTTATTTAATAAAATTTGTGTGTATGGTGCTGCGGCCTTGTACCTGCAACCCTAACATGATACCTCCCCGCAACAGAGAGGTTATTCTCTAACTCATGGACCTCCTGGATGCTAGGATTCCAGGCATGTGGTACCATAACTGGTGCCAAATCTGAACTCTTTTTTTCTTTTCTTTTTTTTTTTTTTGATTTTTCAAGAAAGGGTTTCTCTGTGTAGTAGACATGGCTGACCTGAAACTCATTTTGTAGACCAGGCAGGACTCACAGAGATCTGCTTACCTTTACCTTCCAAGTTCTGGGATTAATGGTGTGCACTACCACCACCCAGTTAGACCTGAACTTTTTAAAGTTTAAAATTATGTCATGCAGACATCTACCATCCCAGAACTTAGAAAGTCTCAAGTATAACTAATCTTGAGGTTTTTTCATATTTTAATTTTTATGTGAAGGCAAATGGTTACAAATCTATTTAAGCTTTTTGTCTGTCTTGTTTTTCTTCACCTCAAGTAGCACTAATATTCCCCTCATCTGGGGCTGCACTTTTTCAAGGTTCCATGCTGGAGAGGATTTACAGAGTTCTACTAGCATGAAATTTGATTTCTGTATCTGAGATAAGATTTAGGTCAGTGGCAGAGTTTCCCAAAGCCCCGAGTTCAGTCCTTACCACATGCTCCCAATACACACACACACAGAAGTTTTAAAAATAAACATTTTTTTTGTTTATTATTTGCTTTTTTTTTCCAATACAGGCTTTCTCCCCATAACCCTGGCTATACTAGAACTCACTCTGTTGACCAGGCTGGCCTCAAACTCACAGAGATCCACCTGCCTCTGCCTCCCAAGTGCTGGGATTAAAGGTGTGTGCTATCATAACCTGCTGGGGATCTCCAGTTTGGGGCCCCATTACAAACCCCACCTTCAGCGAGCCAAGCACCAGCTTCTGTCCTCTCCAGACCCTGCCCAAAGAAAGCCTGCCAAACACTGGCTCAACCCCTGGAGGGTATTGAAGGTCTGGCCCGTAGGTTGCCCCTCATGGTTTCTTCTGGTGGCTTCTTCTCTTTCCTGGGACCACCCGGGAATGTTTTGCTCAGATTAGACTTGGATTTATTAATTTGGCCTGATCTGATTTACTGAATCGGCAGAGTTACTCGCTACCGAGGAATTTTTACTTATCACTACCCAGCAAAAAGAAATACTTTTAAAAAGCACAATCCGCCAGGCGATGGTGGCACACACCTTTAATCCCAGCACTGGGGAGGCAGAGGCAGATGGATCTCCATGATTTCAAGTCCAGGCTGGTCTACAGAGCTAGTTCCAGGGCAACCAGGATCCAAGATTACACGAAGAAACCCTGTCTCAAAACAAAACAAATAAACAACAAAAACACCACAACAATAAACACACAACCCCCCCAAACAGTACAGTCTACACTAGAACGTTTAGCCCTAATCTGGAAAGCTTGACACACGGAGATCATTTTACTTAGTTCTTGGCAGTTTTCTCCAAATTATAACATTAGCTAACTGGGAAAGTCTGAACGCCTCGTTTAGTCGAAAGAGTTATAGACCTTCCTGTCACTTGAGACTAGTTCTCACTGTGCGGCCCAAGCGGCCCTCAAGCGGCCCACCCTTCTGCCCCAGCCTCCACTGGGATGGGGTTCCAGGAATCCTTTCTGAGTCTGCATTTTGTTCCCTTTGAGAGTCCTGGGGCAGATGCACAGCCTTTCCTCCCTACAGTCCAGCATCTTCTGCTCAGGGATCACTACACTCAACAGCGTAGTCGGCAGTTACTGCTGCTCTGCTCTGCTTGTCCCGCCCACATCTTCCAGGCTGCCCCTCAACTCCTCAATGTCCATACACACCTCTCAATCTTTGGCTTCAGGTTTGTTAGTATTTAATTTTTTATTTTACGCGTATGGATGTTTTGCCATACACATATGTCTATTGATGGAGGTGGGTCTTGTATCTTATCTGTTGCTTTCATTGGTTAATATTAAAGAAACTGCCTCGGCCCTCATAGGACAGAAAATTAGGTAGGTGGAGTAAACAGAAGAGAATGCTGGGA